CAGAGATTTGGGATGCCGAAACGAGAGGATTGCTTGAGGTCAGAAGATTGAGACCAACCTGGGCAACATAGTGAGACCCTACATCTACACTAAAATAAAATTAAATGCAAATTAAAAATAGCCAGGCATGATAGTGTGCACATGTAGTCCTAGCTACTCAGGAGGCTGAAGTAGGAGGAGAATTGCTTAAACCCAGGAGTTAGTGGGTGCAGTAAGTTATGGCCACATCACTGCACTCCAGCTTTAGTGAAAGAGACAAGACTCTGCCTCTAGAATAAGATAAAATAAAATAAAATTAATGAACATAAGTGAAAGTTAGAGAATAAAATAAGTTTCCCAAGAAAGTAGAGAAAAATGCAGAGTTAACAAACAAAAGATATGAAAATATTGGAGAATTTTTCCAAGAGATCCAGCATCCAAATAATGAAAATTCCAGAAAGAACAAATAGAAGAAAAGAGAGCGGAGTAAATGAAAAAAATAACTTAGGGAAAAAATTTTTGAAAGACGTGAGGGTTCAGATTGAAATGGCCCAGTAAAAGGGATTAAAGCTGTGTCATACTTGGGTAGATCATTTTGAAATTTTAGACCACTGGGAAAGAATATAATACTTTAAAATCTTTAAGAAGAAAATTTAGCTTTATGCTAGAGATTAAAATCCAAGATAGCATTAGATATCTCAATAGTAACATTGGAAACTAGTGACAAAAGGAACAATGTCACTGAAATTAAAAAGAAAAATAGTTTCTAAAAGCAGCCAAACAATTAATTATGAGGGAAAATATTGAAATATATACAGGGTCTCAAAAAGTTTGTTACCATATTTCCTTTCTCAGAAATTCCTGAAAGATGTGCTTTGCCAAAACAAAGGGTAAACATGGAAAAAAGAAATGTATGTTCCATGAAGCAGGATTTCTACACCAAGAATGAGGTGAACAGGATCTCCAGGGATTATGATAAAGGTGTGATAAAGGGTCCCAAGACAACAATACCTAAATAAACAATACTTAAATTAATACATAAATACTTAAATAAATAAAAAATACTTAAAGAACTTTACAAAGTAGAACAGGTAACAACAATGCCTTGGTATCTTTAAGAAGATAAAATTGTTAAAATATCATTGAGTTTGACAAATTAGCAAGAAAGTTTTTACATAACTGGGAAAGACTCTAGAGCTGAAGGATTGATAAGTAAATACACAAAGAAGCAAAGAAAAAAAATTATCAACTCTAGAAGGAAGAGATGCAAAGGATGAGAAAAATGATAAAAATACATGGGACAATATTTATAGAATTTAATGAAACATTGAAGATTAAAACATGATAGAACTCTATTGGAAATTAAACTATAGTAGAGTTGATGTTGTGTGGATGCACAGTGAGCAGCAACGATTATAATAGAGTGAAAATTTCATCTGCCACACTGGAAGCAGATGATCCAAAACAGAAAATAAAGAGAAACAATTTTTTTAAATGATTAGGAATTTGCGTATAACAAATTCCTTATATTCCTATATCAAATTCCCATATTTTGCACAATATAATCACTCAAAAGGACACAAAGTCTTTGTGGGAAACAGGAGAGAATAGGTAGAGTGGGGACTGTTTATTTTTAAAAGTCCTGTAGAAACTGCATGAGTATGTATCACTTTTTACTATATGTACACACATATATATACATGGGCGTCTATATATGTGTCTGTGTACATATAGTAAAAAGTGGATATGGATATCTTTAAAATTCAGAAGGAATTCTGTGTGTGTGTGTGTGTGTGTGTGTGTGTGTGTGTGTGTGTGTTTGTCTTCAGGAGAAATAGACTTGGATACAGGTCCTAATTTGGGCTATTGAGAGTTAACAACCATAAGGGGAAAGATGCAGCTTTAGACACTCATGAAACCAGAAACTAGAACTGAAGCTCTTGCTTGACTATAGGGCTTTGCAAAATTTTATCAGGGATCAAACTTTCCACCTATGGCCCAGTGACAAGGAAGGTTGTCTGGGTGGGGGGCTATGGACAGAGAAAATGTATTCTGAGAGAAGCTGAAACTCCAAGCCTCAGCATCCTGCAGTATGGACGTCATCTCCAAGATATCCTATGTGAAGAAAATTTTGTTAGCTGGCTCCTAGCTAATGAAATCTGTGAAACTAAAGAATATTTAAGACAAAGAGAATATGAAAATATTCTCCTCTTTGACAAGACAATAAACCGACATATAATACTTTTAATAAACAAGAGTCCAGAAGAAAATTGTAAAAAAAAATTTCAGATGCTCTAGAACTGAGACATATTCAGATATTTGACTAAAAAACTATTAAAATATTTGCTTAAGAAAAAGAAGTAAGAATGAAAGAGTTGGATGCAAGAAGCTTTGATGAAGAAATCAGTAAATATATAGGCAATTATAAAATGTATTGACTTCAAAAATAAGTTAGAGCATTGAAAACAAGTGTCATACTGTACAAAAATAGCACAGACAACAGGAAACAATGTGTTTGGAATTAAATGTGTTCTAAGGTCCTTGGGTTGTTTGAAATGAGGGTAGAGATGTTAATTAACTTTAGATTTCATTAGGTCAAGTATGCAAGCTTAATTTTTTTTTTTTTTTTTTTTGAGTTGGAGTCTCACTCTGTCACCCAGACTGGAGTGCAGTGGCCGCTTCCGGCCACTACAGCCTCGACCTGCTGGGCTCCGGTGATCCTTCTGCCTCAGTCTTCCAAGTAGCTGGAACTACAGGAGTGTGCTACCATGCCCGGCTAATTTTTTGATTTATTGTAGAGATGAGGTCTCGCCAAGTTGCCCAGGCAGGTCTCGAACCTGCGGGCTCTGGCAATCCACTCACCTCAGCCTCCCAAAGGCACGGGATTACAGGCTGAGCCACCCAGCCCGGCGCAAGCTTAATTTTTAAGCATTACTAAAATAATAGACATGGAATGTTTCTTTTTAGAAAAATAAAATACAATATCCCACAGAAGACAGAAAAAGTCAAAACATAGTTGTCATTAGGTGTTATATATAAATATATATATATTAAGTATGTATTTATGACTATATATTTTATATACATATTTGTATAAAAGAGCTAAGTAAAATATACTTATATAGATATATATTTAAGTATAGTTATGGTATGTGTTAAATATACACTTATGTATATACACACACACACCCTTACACACACACAAGCACAGAAAACATACACATTTCCAGACAGTGCTCTCTTCTAGCAGGTAGAATAGTGGATGGTTTAAAAGAGCCTAGGTGGCTGTTTTAGTTATTTCTATCACACTTTATTTCTTTAATAATACATAAGGCATATACAGCAAAACTTTATTCTATCTTTATTTTATTTTATTTTATTTTTTAAACTCAAGGTCTAAGGTACCTGGATAGGAGGCAAGTCTCTGCTTACTTAAAATATAGTTTCAGGCCGGGCACGGTGGCTCAAGCCTACAATCCCAGCTCTTTGGGAGGCCAAGGCAAGGGGATTGCCTGAGTTCAGGGGTTTGAGACCAGCCTGGGTAACTTGATGAGACTTCGTCTCTACAGTAAACCAAAAAATAAGCCCGGTGTGGTAACGCATGCCTGTAGTTCCACCTACTTGGAAGGCGGAGGCAGAAGGATTGCCTGAGCCCAGATGGTCGAAGCTGTGGTGGCAATGAGTGTGCCACTGCCCTCCAGTCTGGGCAACAGAGTGAGCCTCCAACTCCAAAAAAAAAAATAAAATAAAATAAAAAAATATATATTTTCAAGTACTCAGTGAACTCCTGATATTTTAGCTTTTATTTTACCATTTTGCCATTTGTGTATTTCTCCTGGCACTGCTTCAAATTTTTGCCTTCATTCATAATTCCTTCATTTTTATTTGTCCTTGTCTTCTCCTTATTTTTTTTCTTTAACCCGCACACAATCCTGACCACAGCTGCTCCTTCCACTCCTGTCATCTTCCACCACTTCTCCAAATCAGAGGAAAGAAAAATGTAAACTCCACTGCAAAAGGCATCCTGTATGTTTTAAGCTATTGCACACAACCATGGACTATTTATATTCATATGCAGTTGTTAAAAAAAAAAAAAGAATTCTCCTTAGACTTTGTATGCCCAAGGGGCAGAGACTACGCCTCATGTTTTTAGATTTAATTTTAAAAAACTCACTAAATGGCCTCCCTGAGAATCAATTTAATCAAGTGTAAAAATGCAGATGATCTTTACCACGCAGAGTTGTTCAGAGGATTCAAATAATGTGTGCAAGTGACCATGTAAATGATTGATGCATTCAGAGCTGGGAAAGGATATACATAGGAGTATGGATATGATTCTTAGTAAGCAAGGAGGTATACTGGGCCCTATCATATTTATTTTCTATAGCATTCGCTGGTCATACACAGCCCAGATATTCTGAAACATCCATGATTTGAAAGTAAAGGGAAAAAAAATCCCAATTTGGGGGGAAAAAAACTCCTAACAATTCTACTAAATGATGATGACTATCTTCTCTGAACCTCACTAGGTCAGTAACTTCAGCAACTTTGCTTTTTAAATTAATTTGTGAGGTGCCTTGGGGTTGGGCACATTACATATCATAGAACTCATTTGACTTAAAGTTAGGAACACAGTTTTCTATGAATCACTTTCAGGTGAAAAAACTGAACACTTAATTAATAGATGATTTGGCATTTAAACAAAATCAAGAAAACTGTACATTTGTGTGCTTTACTTACTGTGGCTTTTAAAACACTGGTTCAGTAAAAGGCAAGATGGTCATGAAACTTCCTCCAATAAACACAGATCTCAACTATCTGCATTATTAAATTCATGTTCTATATTGCTGAAGCATGTCATCAAGAAGGAGCTAAAATAAAATGAATTCTCAAGTAATGACTTTTGATGGATTAAATCATTGTCTTTCAGGAATTAAGAGCCGTATGATAAACTAAGTCAAGAAATGTGAGTACTGTTGGAGAGTGAAAAAATGATGAGCACACTGAAAATTAAACCCAAATCGTGTTTCAAAAGTTTAATATAGTTTTTATAAAATTGAACTTGTAGTATTGAATACATGAGTTTATATTTTTGTAAGCTAAATGACCTTGTACATTTAAATATTCATAGGTTGCATGCCAGAAAATGCCATTAGCTTGATACTAATTTATATATGTACAATGTAATTCAATAATAAATTCTTAAATAGAGCTCACAGATACGCTGTGTAGTCAATCTGAATCCTCTTTATAGTATGGAATGGCAGAAATGCCTAAAATACAAATAGAAAGTAAGTCAGCTTCCCTGTGACCGCAGTCTTCTTCTAGTAGAAATAATGCATTGAGCCCATTCTTTTCAGACAAATAGGCTTTGGAGCACTGATACAACTGAATACTTTTCATAATATTTTATGCCATAAATGAATGAATTTAAAACAGCTAAGAAGAAAGATTTTTTCAGAAATAATTAATGATAAAATATCCTTATTTTTCATTTTGTATATATTTACAAAAGTGTATTCACATATTGCTGAAAATAATATTTTAATTGAAGATAGGCATTATCAAAATAATTGCATTTATTTTATTTACATCATTTTGATAAATAGAATGAAATATTTTACTATAACAGGAGCTATACCATGAAAATGCTATAAAAAGCGACTGGTTTCCAGTTGTTAAGTAGAGTTATTTAGTTCGATGATCACATGATGTTTTTCTTTCTAATAGCCACCACACTGGTGGGCTGAAAATTATTTTGGCTTAAATTGACTTTTACTTTCTTTAATTTGAACTGTTACAACTTCCGGAAATGGAAATAGCAGAGGTTGAATTTTTAATTCATTCAATAAAATGCATAACTTTTCATCGCTGAGAGACATGTCATGTATATATTGAACAAATGCTACATGAAATAACTTTAGTAAGAAACCCTTCAGGCTGAAATATATGAAACTGAGATTATTTTGCTTAGAATGATCAGTGTCAAAAAAAATCAGCAAAAGGAGAAGAAAAGCACTTCTTTATTTTTATCCAAATATATCGGACTTCATAATTTAGATTCAACAAAAACTTTACCATATATGATCCAAACCAGGACATTATAAGAGTAAAAAGGAGTGCTACTAATAATTACACAGGTACAACAGGTATAAACTGGAATTTTCCTGGGTAAACTGAGATCTATGATCAACCTAGAAATAAGAGTTAAACTGCAATTACATGCAGAAATTACACCCTTCCCACGAACATGTGGAAAAGATAAAATAAGATAATTCACTCAGGTTAATTGGCAACAGTAAACTCTTTCTCATCATTCAGGTTTCTGTTCAAATGTTACCCACTATCCAAGTCATTCACATCATCTAAAATAGTCAATTCTTAATCCACACAATCATTGTGCATTATGTTACACTGTTTTCATTCTCTTAATTTATATTTTGACTATCTGAAGTTGTCTTATTTGTTTTTTGTCTGTCTCCTCTATGCTCTCCTTCTGATATGCAGTGTTTATGGTGAGCAGTGACCACCTCTGACTTAGTCACATCCAAATCCCCAGGAACTAAAAAATGCCCATGACATAGAAGGCATGCAGAAATTTTGTTGAATGTGTGTATACATTTGGAGAGTTTGTTTTTGGTTCCATCTTTGTCTTGGTACCAAAGACAAATTAAAATGACTCTCCAAAGTAAATTATGGCTCTACTTAGTTTTAAGTTGTTGGACTAAATGATCGATGCAGTTTTTCCACTGCTAAGTATACTATGCCCTGTGGACCCCTTTCTCTTTCTGTCAGTATTATAGCCAGCAAATAAGAAGTTTGCTGATCTAGGGGTAGGACAACCCATTCTATTCACAGTGGATGGATGCTCAAGGTTGATCATTTTGCCAGTAACAATTCCCTGGTATATGTTTGCACCTACAGAATTTGGTTGAATCAGAGGTAGCCAGAAGGTATAATTAAGGTCAATGACAGAATTGTTGATGTAATAATTTGCCAAAAATAAAATCATTACAGGATTGTAAAACCAGCAAATAATGATTTACATATTAATAAGTGTTTTAATTCTGAACAGACTTAGATTGCAAAACCCAAAGACGTTTTCTAAGAAAACCCATGATATTCTGATAATGATCATTTCTAATTTTTCATTAAAATCTCTGCATTCTAAATCTTAATTTTGAAACTGTTCTACTGATCAATAACTTCAATCCTGCTAATGAGTCATAAATATCAGATTCTGGGGTTAAAAAAAACAGTACTGTTAAAATTATTTGGGTAAACCAGGGACCCATGACACCAATAAAATCAGCGTTCACCAAAAAAACTGTGTGTAAGATATTTCCAATTCATCTCATTTTGGTTTCTCTCAAGTTTGTTCAAAACATTCTTCCTGAATTACGAGAGACAGGCATGAGATAGGTTCCCCAGGTAAGGAAAAAGTCTATCCTGTTACAACAAATACCATAAACAAGAAAACAGAATAAAGAGACTCAATTAGACATACATATTTTAAGCATAAATATTTATCATCTGCTTCATTTCATTGTCATATCTTCCTAAAGATAAATGATTGGTTTTTAAATGGACACAATTTCCAGAAAAGGAATGAAAATCTTTCTAATTGACTCAGTTTGAAACAGGGATCATTAATTATGTAATTTCACACAGATTCTGATAGATTCAATATAACTTGGCTACTGACTATTACAATGATTCAGCATTTGTTCAGAGCTCATATTTGTATTAGATTGTAGGTAAAACAGAACGCTAGATTTTAATTAGCCCAGAAAGAACTAATCCTCAAATTAATTAACATTTATTTCTCCCCAGTACTAGCAATGTTTTTAAATCATAAGAAATTTTCAGTGACATACCATGTACTGGTATGTTCTAAAATTTACAAGTTAAATATATAATGGCTATATTTTTGTGGGACCATAAGTAACACAAAGTTGTTTGACTCGCTTATATAAAATACAATTGAAAACCTCCCAAGACCTTAAACAGCAGAACATGTTAAATCAGATTTTAAAATGACAAATAATTTAAGGCTAAAATATTTGGTATTAATAATTAATGCCAGTAGCCTTCCTAGTCTAATAAAGTAAACATGCACAAGAACTACAACTTTGAACAAAACAGCACAATTTTATAAGATATATATGTATGTATGTATGTGTATGTATATATGTATATGTATGTATACATACACACATACACACACATATATGTAGTTTTTATCGCCCTGAAAGCTATTCACTCATGTTTGGCTTAATACATATGTTAGAAATGTTGGAGAGAATACCTCCTCTTTAAATATATATATATATATATTTTCAGAATATACAATATAAATATGCCATATATAAATCATGCCATAAAACTAAATGCAAAATTTGCACATTATTGCATGCTTGATGTGATAATACATGCCCATTAATAACTTCCTTATGATATCTCCCCTTCATAACTTTGCTTTCTGCCTATTAGCAATACTTGATAAGAAAAAGTTCTCAAATATGCTTATAGGAACGGGAGGAAAATAAACCTTTCAGATTCCTTAGGGAGGATTACCTTGTCAGCCAAATATTGGACTATTACTTAATAAAACATTAAATGATGCCTAAGGGGGTGTTTTGTTATGTGAAGCGATCAGAGTTCATTTTTCTTAATTTGGCTGGAAGATTCCCTTCCATCCTAGCTGCTCCTCCAGCCATCTTTTGAAGCTTTGGTGGCAAATCAGCCACAGACTGGCTCATGGGATCAGATAACATCTTAGTGGTTTTAGATACCAGTTTTTCTTCTGAGTTGCCAGGAACTGAACTTATTCGCTGAAGTTTCATGGGCAAATCTCCTAAGCTATATGCTTTTTCTGAAGTTGTAGAACTCATCCTCAAGAGTTTTTTGGGAAAGTCTTCTCTTCCAGTAATTTTCTGCAGTTTAGATGGAAGTTTTTTACTAATGTCATCTAGCCCATCTAAGCATTCCACAGAATTATGTCTTTCTTTGCTGTTAGCTATGGCTGGTGCTATTAAGGGAGATGACATGAGAAGCATTTCCTCCTGTTCTTTCACACTGTACGGTGGGGTAGGAACTTCAAATGTTGCATGAAACTGGGAGTAATCAACTTTAAAGAATCCTTCTTCTAAGGAAATTACAGGAAAAAACCGATGACCCCAAAGAACTTCATCTTCAGTGTACGATGTTCGAGCTTGACAAGTCATCCCTGCAAGTAAAAGGAAATTCTTGATAAATTAGGCATAATGGAAGCACATGCAAAGCTATTTTGACCTAAAGAATTCATTTTACATTCTTGTTTAGGTTTTGGATTGTTTATCTGAGTAGATTGAATAATAGAGTAGTTTAAAAGTTTTACTGTAGGTTAACTGCATGGATATCTATATTTTCTTCCAACAAAAAACACACGATGTTGATACTGTTCATGTCTGAAGAGTAATGCACTGTAACATAATTATTATCCATAAACCAAAAGCAAAAATGGCATAGAATAATTTCAGAACATATGCATCTCTATAAGGAGATAAGAGTGAAATTAAGTAATTGTTTTTTATCATTCAAGAAACAAACATATAAAACAAACCTGACTTTGAATTCAAACTTTACCACTGCTTAAATTTAGGAAAGATTACTTTCTTCTTCTGTAGATTAAGGCATGGAAAACAACATCTGTCTCATCGAATTGCTCTGAGCATGAAATAACATATACAGAAATGCAAAATGTGTCATATAACGTCTATGGATAGTTGGTTCTTAATAAATGAGAGCTCAATTTTCTCCTCCCACAGCAAAGGCTTGCTATGCGAGGTAGGAGGATCAAAGATAACCCACCCAAGCACTTTATAAATTTTAAAACGGTGAAAATATTTCTATGATAGATATTGGAAAATCATTGTGGTTCTCCTATACTTCCAGACCTATAAGACCAGAATAAACCTTTGTTCAAGTTTTAGAACTCCATATACTTAAAATCAGTGATCAAGGCCATGTGATATATCAAATTCCATTCCTGCTGGGAATATCTGGAACTAGATGCTGAATATCAGATGTAAACATTTGCAATTTATATATATTATACTGCTTGGATATCATTTGCATCATGGTACTCTGATTTACTTAATTTTGTTCTCTTCATAAATCATTTATTTCGATTGAGTTACTATCAAACCAGTCAACCTCTGAATATTCATTTTGGGAAGACTGGAAGTACATGAATAAATTAAAACCATATATTGAGTTTCTGCTTTATATTAGTGAAAAGACACAATTTTCTGCAAGTATCAAAATTCACTGATTTTCTTTACTTTTTCTATAGGTGTCTAATAAAGGTTATTAAAATATTAAAAATGATTAATTTAAAAAATCATCCCTTCAGTAAATTAAGTATAATTTAAGCAAGTGATAACAATCCTTCTTCATTCATTTCAATTCTCCCCCATCACATTACAAGTAATTTCTATTGTTTTTAAGCTTGGCATAGTTTGGATAAAAGAATATTCTGCCTTTTTTTCTCACTGACTAGTAATCACACATATAATATGTACAGAGAACTAAGATAAAATACATAATTAAATAACCAAATTGCATATAAATTAAATCCTTCATTGAATCCTTCCAAAAATAATCTTGCCTTATAAATATTGCCAGTTATATATCACCAAAGAATTCACTGTTATCACTATATACCATATTTTTTCAAGAAATTTTTTTAAGAAATTTAAGTAGAAAATAAATGGCTATTATATGGCAGGCACTGTGTTAAGTTCTCTCTCTCTCTCTTACTCTCTTTTTTCCCCTAATCCTCAATAAGGCCTGTTAAGAAGATATTTTTTGTCCATTTTAAAGATAAGGAACTTAGTGCTCAGAGAGGTTAAGACTCTTAACCTTTCTTGGGCACAGATCCAGTAAGTTGTAGAAAAAAAGATGTTAGCATCATTCTACTTTCTCTGTGTGTGTGTGGTTTGTTTTGTTATTTTGGGTTTACTTTGGCACAATACTTCTAATATTTTAGTTAGAAATCTAATTTTTCACTTTAACTTTGCAATGGTGCAACTCTGACAGTGACCAAATGTCAGCGTTCACAATCAATCTTATATCAGGAATAGCCCCCAGAAACATTTATATATGAAGATAATGAAATAAGTCTAAACAATAATTTGTGAGAATTACTTAGAAGCATTCTGCATTTTCCAATAATTTTGCAGATACTAACAAAATATTTCATAAAAATATAGAATATAACCTACTCAGAAAAAGTTAAAAGTATATTTTTGATATATTTACTCAGTTTTATTTTGAGTAATTTGAAGATATAGAAACATTCCTAGAATAATAAACAAAAACAAATCAACTAAGATATGAAATAAAACAAATAATGTTGAGGCACACTTTACTTTCTCATGAAGTCTTTTCAGTGTAAGATAAGTTTACATTTAAGAAAAAGAGGGTCATGCATATATTTTTACTAAGTAATAGTACTTCCTTCTGACCTTATTTTATTTTATTTTTTAAATTAACCATTGAAAATTGATGGTAGACAGAATTATCCTAAATGAGGGCACACTCAATATAATTTAGTGTTTTAAAATGTAAGATGTTTGTAGGTTTGTCCTTTGATTAATGTAAATGTATACATCGATTTACAGTAAATTCAGATTATGATTATTTCTAACAATCACAGAAGAAATATTGAAATGAAATTTGATGACTATCACCATCTTAGCCCATTTTATTTTGGTGCCTCCCCTTTTATTTATTTATTTATTTATTTTTTTTTTTTTTGAGTTGGAGTCTCACTCTGTCGCCCAGACTGGAGGGCAGTAGCCGCTCCTGGCCACCGCAGCCTCGACCTGCTGGGCTCCGGCGATCCTTCCACCTCAGCCTTCCAGGTAGCTGGAACTACAGGCGTGCGCTACCACGCCCGGCTGATTTTTTGATTTATTGTAGAGATGAGGTCTCGCTGCCCAGGCGGGTCTTGAACCCGCGGGGTCAGGCAATCCACTCACCTCAGCCTCCCAAAGGCGCGGGATTACAGGCTGAGCCACCGAGCCCGGCTGGTGCCTCTCCTTTTATACATTAGAAAAATAATATGAAATTAAAACACAAGATCCTTCCCCTGCTTTGATAATAACCACATATCACACTGTGGATTCCTTTGCTTTGTTGATGCCCTCGAGGGTTATCAGAAGCAATATAAAAGAACTAGAAACACTTAAATGGAGGAAAAAATGAGGCAAATAAAAGCTTATAAAATTTTAACTTTGAGAAAACAGGCCATTGATTATTAAGATACTTATGATGCTTTGATATCTACAGTGAAAACAGGTATTCAGATGTTTGTTTGTGTTAAAGTACCTGTAAGCATTTAAGCATTATTGAAATGCTAGTGCATAATTTTGACTAAAAAGTAAGATGAGGATTCTACTATAGAAAATTAACTTTTATATTCTTTTTACAGCTAACTGATATATGTGAAGTAACATCTTACACATGATTAAAATACTTATGAATTTGGCTGTCAATACCACTACTTATTGTGATAATTACCTAAAGTTCTCTGTGTCTGCTTTCTCTGTAGTAAACTAGATATAACAATATCCTCTCTTATAAATCTGTTAAGAGTTTGAAAGTAAAAGGTACACCCTGCTTGGTTTTCAGACAATGCCCAGTGTTTTTATTGTTCCGTACTGATCACTGCATTTCCTGTTCTTTCTGAGAATCAGTAGGAATGCATTAACGTAAGGGGGAAATTTTTACATGTTAGTAATTTATTCATATTAGTAATATAGAACATTACATTTAAAAATCACTAAGTTTCAGATAGCAATTCCTTTTTAAAATTGGCAAACATTCAAAATATTTAAAGATAGAGAAAAAATAACATTACTCATGTTCTCAACTTTTAGGGTTTCTCAATATTTTCCACCTAAGTGTTCTTACTAGCAGAGGAGATTAAGCGTGGAAGCTTGGGGTACACTTTTTGGCTTGAATGGTTAAAATCAATTATAATATTATGTTATACCAAGAACATTTGCCAGCACTGGGACGTTTGTTCTTCTGCTTCTCCTTTTACACTTTCATTAGATGTAGGTGCAAAAATGACAGATGTTTCCCATCCACAAACATCACAGTTTTAAAATCTGCTTTCACCTTCAGGGTCTTATTAACTTGCAATGAATACACAGATAATAATATGGAGGATTTATAAATTAGGTACCAGGAAAATGTCTATGATTGTCAATCTGTAGCTTAGACAATGAACTAAGATGAGATGTAATCAAGAGACTACTTCTTTTTATAAACGTTAACACAAAATGGTGTTGAAAAAATAAAATGCAAACTTCAATTGAGAAGATTTAAAGTAGATATCATTGTTTTCTAAGAACATGCTTGTACCATAGCATTCTTCCTTCTAGAATGCTTTACTTTACATTTCTTAATCAAACTCAAATTATTTTAAAATAATCCATGCTTAGATTCATAATTACAAATGTCATTTGGATTAAGATAAATGCAAGTAAATATCATTATTCAAAGGGTACTATGTGATTGCACCTCTTAGCCGGCAACACAACTGTTTGCATGTTTTAACCAGATTCCAGACTTGAACAAATGTGGTGAAAATCAACACGAGCTCATCTCTGTGGAAACTGGCAAAGCAACAGATGCTGCTACTGGAAATAGCTGGGACTTTTGAATCCTTAGATTAAAAAACATTTTGCAAAAAAAAGGTTTCATTCTGTGCATTGCAATATTCATAGATTTAAAAGGGTATATATTATTGTTTAATGTAATTTATTTCAGCATGAATATGTCTATTTAAAATAGTAGAGACATGTAGTCTAACCTCTTTATTTTTGACATTTCCCTTTCCTGATTCTGCCTTTACACTGCATTAAGTTCATCCCTTTACCTGAATTGAATGTTCACTCAAAGAACAGGTCTGAAAGGTTTTTAAGTGAAAATGACAAAGTGAGTTCTTATTTGACAAGTCCTTAATTAAACTTTCAGAATACTGCTAACTCAGTTATTTTCCATTGTCTCTCCTGGTCAGAGATGGCAGATGTGTCACTTACACAAGAGGGTGCAGTATGGTTAAAAACAATATAACCACGGGGCAAAGGGGGGATGTCCAGATGCTGTGACACAGATAATATCACAAATCAATAGCTTCTGCACAGCAGAGGCTTTATCTAAACCTTACCCAAT